AATCGGGCCTCAGACACATAACTGTTACAAGCTCTATGACTCTGGTCAAGTCACTTAACCCCAACTGCCTCATTAAAACAAAACAAAAGAATGTAAAAGATATTCTTAGCTCATATGCCATACAAAAACAGATAGGGAAGTGAACCATAGTTTGCTGACCCCTGGACTAGATCAAATATACAGAGAGGAGGTCCTTCTGGAAACAAAATTCTGGAAACTTGAGAGATCAAGTTTCAAGAGATCTGAAAGAGAGATAAAGGCTTGGAAAAAAAATCATAGATCTTACTATTACCCCAAAAAGCAACTGAGAAAATAGCAATAATTACTGATCAATATGGCTATCATTTCTAAAAATCTTCATTACAATAATCTACACATGTTTTAGGGCATCCTTGATGAAGGTATGAGAAAGGCATAGCAGGAATTTTAAGTGATATTCTATAGCATTACTATATCTTTACAGTCAGAATTGAAAGACAGATTCAAAGAACTTGAGATCTCATTGTGCTTATTGTTGACTATAAAAAAAGACCTTTGATTTGGCAAAGCAAAACACCACTTTACAGGTTCTCATCTAACAAGGTGCATCCTGTGAATATGTCAAATTTTCACAAAATTTTTTGAAAGATGTAATAATAAAGATAAATTTGTTTTGTGACCTATGATTATTAATGTCAAGTGAAGAAAAAAAAAACAGGGAAAGAATCACTACCATGCTACTATCATAGGGGATGCCTAACACAGAGTGCAAATTAAAGAGTATTCCCTGTAGATGAATATTCTAGATGCTCCTATTTGTAGATGACACTGCTGATTCCATCAAGCCCTGGAATACTTCAGAACCTCCTAAACAAGATCTATAAATCACTCAACAATTTGGCTTAATTATCCAATACATGAAAAACCAAGTGGATAAAGAATGCCTATTGTCCAAGCTACGACATATAGTTGCATGGACTGCAGCATCAGTACAGATAGCTTGGATGGACACCATGAATGGACAATGAATTGGGACAAGGACCAAAGAAGATGGTGAGCTAGATTATCTTTGAGAAACTGAGTAGTATTTTTGTTGACCCCAACCTTCTATCTGAAATCTATCTATCTTCTTAATATCAATATTTTTTCTGGTGATTCTCCCTGTATAACTTCCAGTCACAGCACATTACAATTTACAAAGAATTAAAGTTTCAGGTCACTCTAAGGGGCAATAAAATAGAGTAATGTTGGCTTGATAAGGGTTCAACAGAGTACCAACCAATAATTGTTCAAAAGAAGCATCTTAAAGTATTATCACTGGACAGATGTATTGACCCCTCCCCGTATCTTGATTTCTTAGTTTCTACGCAATGTCGAGTTATCTAGAGGAAGGCCCTCTAGATCTAGAAGGAATCCCTGTGGAAGATTTCAGGGAGGATATGGACAAGGGTTGTGCAAGACAGGGTATAAATCAGTTTTGATTTGCACATATGGGTTAAATCCCACACTGATGAAATCATAGATCCACTGTATCAATGTAAGTGTTACAGAGAACTTTTCTCTCTTGACTGAATCCAATTCCTTCAAATCAATGACATAAATTTTAAAAAAAATTGCATTCCTTCTTTCATTAATGAAACCAAACATGAAAGCATTTTTAATACTGCCCATTCAATAGCCAGGACTGTTGTAATGTTTACTTTCATATGCCTCCACATGATTTTGTGAAGGGTGATATTGACTTTAGAGTCTCTATTGATATTGCTATAAAAAGGGTTATCATCAGTATGTCATCTCTGAATAGATGCCATAGTGTAGGAATAAAAACCAGCTCTGGTTACTATTAAAGTGGAGGTCTAGTACAAAGATCTACTCACAAAAATTATGTTAGAAAATGTGTAATTCATAAAATAAGGGGTACAGAAAGGTAATCATATTAATAAAAGTAAAGCTCAAAAATTTTAGCAGATGAATGCTTTTAAGATTTGTGTATTCTTCACAAGTAGTCTGGTATTTAAGACTCTACCTATCTTTTCAGCTTTATTTTACACATAGTCCTCCTATTCTCCATTCTCTGTCCCAGAGTTTTTTCGTTTTGTTCCCTAGTCTTGGCTTGCCTTCACCTTCTTAGCTTTTTTTTTTTTAACTTAGTATTTTATTTTTCCCCAATTACATGTAAATCTTCTTAACTTTTACATATGAAATCCCTCATTCCTGGAACAGACCCTATACCTACAGAAATCCTCCTCCTCCAAGGCTGAGTTTAGCTATCACCTCATCCATAAAATCTTCTATAATCTCTCCAGCCAGAAGGAATAATGCCTTTTACCTTTATGATGAGGAATCTGGGCTTCTCTAAGGGTCTCCTCCAGCTCACAATCTAAATCTGTAATCTCTACTGGCTGGGAACAATTCCTTATATAAAGTAGGTACTTAATTATTTATCAAATCATTAGATTTTAATTTAGTTATTTCAGTTTTCACATTTATACCTCAGAAATGAGAGGTGTTGTACTTGCTAATATAATACGTTATGAAACAATTTTCATTTGTTTAAATTTTTTTCTTAAAGAAAAGCATTCCTGTATATGTATAGCCTACATCAGATTGTGTACCATCTTGGGGAGGGAAGGGGAGAAAAATTTAAAACTCAAAAGCTTATGGAAGTGACTGCTGATAGATCAAAATAAATTATTTTTTTAAAAAAGAAAAACATTCCTTTTAAAAAAACATAACTGATATTAATGTGAAAAAACATAAGTAATTGAGGATGACTAATGATGTTGCTTGAACTATTTCTATTTCCTCAAAATTCCCTAAGAGGGTCATAATGAAAATTATAGAAAAAAGTAAGAATCTGACATAGTTTTTCTTCCACGTTCAGAAGTATTAATGTTAACTTGATTTTCTATACTTATACAGTTTATTAACAATATTAGGAACATAACTCTAAAATTACATAACACCAATGATTTATAATTATTTTAGTTTATACCATCATCATTAAAAAATTAACATATCACATATGTGCTCTTTAAAGTGCACAAATCAGCACAGTAGATTACATATTTATTTTCTTTAAGGCTTCTAGGTCTAGGATAATTTTCCACTGATGTTTAAGGTAACAAATCAAGGTTCAACAGATAAACTTGTGGGTAAAAAGTATTTTATAATTGGATATAGTAATCATTTTATGTGGTCATTAATTTTAGGCCTCATTTAAACATATACTGATTGTGCTAATAACAAACAATACAATAACTTTTGCCACCTTTCTTTTTTGACTCTTAGAATTCTGAATTTCTTTTTATTTCGATTATTGCATAGTATAACAACAATTACTAGGCAACAAAAGGAATATGAACAGGTATATGTTTTAAAAATCACATTCACTACTTATCTCCTGAAAACATTATGAAAATAAAAAGTCTGAGTCCCTCAAAGATCCTGTTGAAGGCTAACTGATCATTATAACATTTGGATGTTTAACCTTAATTGTGGTGGTATATTTATGTAGCTCTTTCAGATTTACCAAATACTTTCCTCACAATAACTTTCGGAGGTTGCAAATATTATTACCTCTATTTTAAGGATGAGGAAATGGAGTCTCAAAGAGAGTATGCACAAAGTCACAGTGATGACTAAGAAGTGTGACATTCATAATTCAATCCTAGGTCCAACGTTCTTTCTACTACAATCCTGCTTTCCATTACCAGGGATTAAAGTTAAAAGTAACCAGGGGATAACTATCAGAATCACTACAATGACCTTGTGAAAGCAGTAATTACACCTTTTAGGTTTTTTTCTTTATTTTCTGGTTCATTTTGAGTGCCCTCTTATTTTCAGAGATGAGATAACTTTAAAACTTAAGGCGTGTGACCAAGTTCAGTCAGGCATGTATGTTCCCCTGTGACTGACTCATTTTCATGTAGTACCTGCTACAATAAAAGACCTTCCTATTCTGCTCAGCTGGTCCTGCCAGCTGTACTTCCTCCACAACTTTGCATTTTTACTAACCTATGTGTTTGGTGTAGCTAATACCAATACAGGATCCTAAATCACAGCTCCAGAATTGAAAGGGACCACAGAGGTCAGCTGGGTCAGCACTTCTGGGAAGGCTAGGAGATTGTCCACAGTCCCAAAGTATTGAGTGGAAAGGTCAGAGTTAAAACTCAGGTTCTTTAAGTTCAGCACTCTGTCCACCTTCCCACAGTGCCCAACAAAATGTAAACTGCTGGAGAATAGGGCCTGTTTAGTGTGTCTCTGTATCCCTAGTGACTAACATAGTGACTTAGACACAGTAGGTGACTAATATTTATTGAATTGAATTCTTAGCAACATTTCATCTAATCCATAATTTTAGTTATTTGGCCTTAATCCTTTATATCCTATGTCACTTCTAGTTTTTTTTTTTATTAAATTAGACTTTGGAAAGTGGTTCATAACAGCAAGAATTTACATAGCTCTGTAAGACATGTAAAGTGCTTTACAAATGTTATCTCATTTTACCCTCACAGGTAGCTCCTAGGAGATAGGAGCCATAATCATCCCTATTTTAAAGATGAGAAAACTGAGACAGAGCTAAAATGAGTTAGCCAGGGTCTCACACAGCTAGTAAGTGTCTAAGCCTGGAACTGAACCCATAACTCTCATCTACTATGATTTTACTAACATTTCTCTCGCTTCATAAATACTCTATTTTTAAAAGCCCTTCCTGTTTATTTCAACTCCTGGGTGGGCGTTTATTCATTCCATTTTCATGTAGCTCTAATTTTTAATGGCAATCTTACACAAATGATTGTTTTAAAATAACCCATTTTAGGTAACCTTCCTACTTTTTCATTTTGAAAAGTTTTAGACTTTGAATAAAATATAATTTGTTAAAAGGACAATTCCCACTAAAATGAGTAACTCTTTGCAAATTCAAATTGAGATTAAAAAAACCCCACATTCTAAAACAAGGAAGTAAATGTTTCCCCAAACTATTTTTTAAGTTTTCTCACTTTAAAAAGCATGCTTACCTGCTATTAGCTTTTGGAGAGCACCCTTATCTCCATTAACAGCAGCAGCATGAACTTGGGATGCTAATGAGGAACCACTAAGGACCCAGCTCTCTGAAGTGTTCATAATTTTCTGAGCCTATGCAACCTGAATCAATTGAGAAAATAGAATTAATGTAACACAAAAGAGTTTCTCACACCACTTCCTCTTTCATTCTTATCATCTCTGAAATAGATAGGTTACATATATGTCATCATAAGTCATTCGTTTAGTTTTCCCTGAAAAAATTCATTCTTTCCATTTATAAAAATGCTCATACTAAAAACATTTTTCCCTAGTTATGAAATCCTACCCTGTTGGTACGGAGATTATTACATTGGACTCTTAAAATATATGCAAATGCACTATAAGCTCGGGCATAAGGTTTCAAACACAGTTTCAGTGAAAGATCAAGTCTGATGTCTCATAACCAATTTAGCTAAGTATGCAGACATTCTTTACCAATAAGTTAGCTGTTAAATAATGAATTCTTTGACTATGGCAACCCATGATCATAACAAAGAAAATATAAACAAAAAGGGTCTTGCATCTTGTGGAGGGAGAGTGGTGGTTGGGCAGAGGCAGTGGGAGAAGGTCCTACTGGAGTAATAGAAAGGGGGTAGACCATGCTAGGAATCAGTTTTTAGGCCCCTAGAAATATTGGACTACACAAAGATTAACTGTAGTTAGAGCTTTATCTTAGGAACTGAATTGCTAGTTAAAGGAGAGCTTGCTGGTTTTCCTAGCCAAGGCAAACAAAGGAGTTGGAGAGTTGGTTTAATTATATGCCTAAAGGCATTAAGAAACATAGTTTCATGGGCTACTTGGTATTCTTATCTTGCAGTGCTCTTAATAAGCATAAACAAAAAGATGACCTATGAGGATAACTGTAGCTAATGCACCAACATCTGTCAGAGCGGATGTTCTAAATTCTAAACCTTTTCTTGTTATGGTCCTGTTCGGACAGTCTGGTGAAGCCTCTGGACCCCTTCTCAGAATACTGTTAGTAAATATATATAATAAATCACATCTACATGATCACAAAGGAAATATTACATTAAGACATAGTTGTCAAAATATTAACAAAAACCAAAAAAAATTACAAGTTCATGGACCTCAGGTTAAGAACTCCTCTATTAGTAGATAAGCAGAAAAAGGTTTTATTACCACCCAAGTTTAATTGATATAATGAAACCACCTTATGGTAATAAGGTCAAAAGAGTTCAGAAACTGCCTTAATTAGTAAATACTTTATCTCCTGGCCAAATGGGGAGACATGATAGCCAAGGAAGGGTAATATCAGTTTGAAATATAAACTCATTTATAAAACCTACAGAGGAGAATAGCAGAAGATTACCAGTGTCACTTTATAAAATCATGAAAAGCAGTAGAAATGAAATCAAGTCTGTAGAAAGCTTGAGGTGCCCCCTAATAGAGCCAAAACACACCAAGGGAATTCATTGGTGAAAATAGCAGGAAAACGACAAACAGGAGAAAATGGAATAAATTTATCAGTATTTTTACAATAATCTATTTTCATATTAGTAACAGAGAAACTACCAAATTTTGACTCCAACATTTCAATTTCCAATGTGTTATATACAAAGAAGTTAATACGGCACTTAAGTAGATGAATTTAGGAAAAGCACCCTTGACCAAAAAAATTCATGCTGGAGGTAATACTGTTTTGAAAGCCTTGTGTTACTATTATTATGCATATTTGTATATTATGATATATAATATAGATTATATATTTATTTTTACAAAGTATCTCTGGAAGAAAATACTGTTCCTCCCCTGGGAGGGAAGGCAAATTACAAATAATACTACTAACTCTCAAAAAAGGTGATTGAGAGAGCATCAATAATTACTGACTTATATTGCCTTTACAAATCTTTGTGAGAATGATCAATACCCATATATGGAGCAGGTTTTTTGAAAATAATAAGAGAATAAAGAAGCTTTCACAAATGATTCTCTACAGCAGACTACAGTTTTATAGTCATAATTAACTGAAAGGCACAAAGAATTGCAAGATCTCCTTGTAATTGTTTGCTGATTAGAAAAAAAAGTATTTGACTCAATAGAGCAAAGCACAACCTTAATGGCTCTCACAATAAAGAGTTTTTTCATCTATGCCTTAAGATCATACAGTATTCCTTCATAAATGCAATCACATATATAATCTTACTCCAGGATCCTCTGATTATCAATTTCAAAGGTGGCCTCAGAGAGGTATGACACATTAGTGTCATGGTGGTCCAACTGGAAGAAGAATCTCCTATAGTTAGAGCCTCAGGATGTCCCTCTTTGGGGACATTGTCCTGATTTCAAACCCCAGAACATTATCAGGGCTCCTTAATGAAATCTATGGAGCAGTAGCAGCTGCTGTAAAGTAGAAAGGTATGGATCTGGAGAAAGGGGACCTAGGTTTGAGTTCTATTTCTGATATTTACTCCCTGTGTAACATTAGGCAAGTGACTTCTCAGACCTCAGTTCTCTCATGGGTAAAAATAATAGGACTGGATTAGATCCCTTCCAGCTCTAAATCCTAAGAATATTCAAAAGAAATTGGCATAACAACTTATACAGGAATAAATATAGTGAAAATTACTTAATGAACAGGATGAAAATTATTTAATGTCCAAAAAACAACAGGCAGTTGAATGTTACCTAGGCACATGAATTTCAGGTAAGGCACTGCAGATGGACAATAAATAAGACCCAGAATTGAAATGAGAAGAGAGAGGTAAATTGAAATTGAGAAATTAAGCAGCAATTTTTAATTATCCCAAGCTGATCTTCAGCACCAAGATCCACCTTTTAAAAAAAAAAGACTATTTTTATCCCATTAGCTATTTTCCAATTACCTGCAAAATTTTTTAACAATTATTTTTAAAAATTTTGAGTTCCAAATTCTTTCCCTTCCTTCTACTCTTCCCTTCCCCTTGAAAAGGCAAGCAATTTGATTTTGATTATACATGTGACACCAAGTAAAACATATTTCCATATTACAAGGCCCATCTTTTTTTTTAACACAAATGTTTCCCCAACAATACTATATTGTTGCAAATGTTAGATTCTATAAAGAATTTAAACTGCAGATGACTCAAAAGACAATGGAGAGACATAGTAATCCAAGGAGGCTGCAGCATATTTCCAAAGAAGACCTAGTAAAGCTGAAAAAAGTATGATTATAAGAAAAGATAGACTGCTTTAGGTGGCTAGGTGGCACAATGGATAGAGTGCTGGACTTGGGAGTTTAAATCCAGTCTCTGACATTTAGTAGCTCTGTGAACCTAGGCAAGTCACTTAAACTCTCTCAGCCTGCTAAAAATAGCACCTATCTCCCAGAGTTGTGAAAAAAAACAAATGAGATAACAAATGTACAGCATTTTGCAAACCTTAGAGCACTGTTTAATTGTTTGTTATTATGAGACTCGTCACTTAGTGTAACAGCTCAAGTACTCCACTGATACCCATGAAATGTAAGATTCCCAACATAATTCTAATGTGTTAGAAACAGTCTTTGGAGACCCCATGGAAGAAAACAGACTAGACTTTTACAGGTTTAAAAAGCATGAATGGTTTGCAAACTGCACCACTGTACAGAATGCTCCTATCAATGAAATAACAGATTCATTTAGTAAAACTTTTTTTCTCTCATCTCCTGACACTACATAGGAAAATGCAGATTGATATGTTCAGCACGTTCCATAGTTCACATAGCCTAGTACAATGCTGCCAACAGAGGGCTCAAGGCATGCCAGATGGGTGGGCAAAGTTGTTGCTTACCTGCCCCGCCCATCCCCAAATCTTTCCTGAAAGGTTAAAAACAGCATGTTGTAGTGGCAAAACCACTGGCCTGGGACTGGTTGGACCCCTAATAGGGATATTGTAGAGAGCACATCATGGGAGTAAGAGGATAGAAAAATATGACCCCTAAATAGTTATGTGACTTTATACAATTCCCAGACTATACCAGAAAAGCACTTGGGGCATCCCGTTAACATCCCTCTTTCCCAATTTTAAATCCCTTTGGGTCTCAGTTTCCACATCTGTAAATTAGAGCACAGAGTAGACAATCTCTAAGATCACTTCAGCTCTAACCTTTTTATTATCCTATGACTGATTTTATGACTGCACTTGTAAATTCACAAGTGGATTTTCTCTGAAATGAAATCTTAGAGTTAATCTGATGAGTATGCTTTGTCCTAAATGCACTTCTATCTGGAATAAATTAGGATTAAGCCCTGGACAAAATAACTGGAAATTAAATCCCTGTCCTATGCTTTCATATGGTCAGCCCAGACAGACTAGGTCTATGTGGAAAGAATACTTCATATTTGAAACAAGGAGATAGAGTTGGAAGCATCAGTAGTTGCTAATTCAGTGAATGCAAGTAGTTAAACAATGTAATGTTATTCATATTTAACTATTCAAATAGTTGAAGGGCTTTGTATCGACTTAGTTTTATACAATTGGCCTCCCTAGGCTAAACTGTAAGGTCCCTAAGAGACTTTCACTTTTGTCTTTGTGTCCCCACCACTTAACACTTAAATGTTTCTCAAGTGGTTTACTGTAAAAGCCTCCAGAGAGAGGGCAAATCTGAGAACTCCAATTTAGTCTCCAAACTACCCTTGGCTGATGAATTAAATCATAAATTTCTGTTCCTGACATTCAAGGTCCTTCACAATCTGGATCCAATTATGTCTTACTTCAAACTACTCCCCTTTTAATTCTCTTTTTCTAGCCTTACTAGACTACTGTCCATTCTTCTCCTATCTCTATGCCTAGAATGGATTTCCTTCTACTATTCTCCCAGGCCAGCCAATTTCTGCTGAAGTGCTTTTCTTTAAGGCCTAATTAAGGCACTGCTTTCTTCACAAAACCCTACCAAATATCTCTCAACATAAAATGTTTTCTTATCATACTTTGCCTGGATAGGCCCTTTTGCCTTTATCACAATCTCTTTTATCAGTTATTTGTGTTCTGTTTCCCAAACCCTCATTCCTATTTGATTGCAAACTCCTTAAGACCAATGTACATGTCATATTTATCTTTTATTTCCAGCACTAAGAAGGTGCTTTGCACATGGTAGGTACTAGTCATATCTTTGCTGGGAACTGAATTTTCTTTCTGTTGCTATAACATCAGTATTTGGAGCCAGAAAATCCAAAGTGGTGGACCAGTTTTCAAGGAGGAGCTAGTACCCTTGGGCTACTGCTTAGAAAGATATTCTTTAGATACAAAAAAACATTTATTAGCCTGACTTAGGTCAGTCTGGTTCCGAATAAGTGTCCAGCACCAAAAGTAAGAAAATGCAGTTTCCACTGAAAGCATGCGAATACAACCTCAGAGACTCTCAAGATCTGGAAGAGTTGCAAAACAAATCTCTTCAGTCAACCTAGATCATGTTACTCTTGTCAGTGACAAGGATTACCGGATCAGTCTCTAGAGGATGGTTTCCTAATGATGGTAAAGGCATTCACGCTCACATTGTATTGACCCTGAAAGCTTGGGCTGACATTCTGGCAGGAAAGATCCCGGAGTATTATGTTTCTGAAAGCATTTTTACAGAACCTGAAAACTTTCTTTAGGCTTCAAGCACATCAGCTGTACCCATACTGGAAAGAGTTGTGCCACTAAAGATGACTACTGAGATAAACACAAGTCAGATACTAAAAAGCACATGTTCTTATGCGCTAGTAAGAATGAGCCGGCTACCCTAGGCCTACAGGGTAGGGCCACTTTTTTTGGTGGGGGGAGGGGGTTCGGGGCAGCCAGATTCAGATTCCCCGCCTGGGCTGGCTGGGATTGATGTTATCTTCCAGTTCTTCCCTTCTTCCTACATACAGGTTTGACCGTGTCTGGGTACTGTTTCCAATGAGCAAATGGATGGAGTCCTACCAAAGTCCTTTTATAACACAAATATAGTTTTGATACTTTAACCAGAGAAAGCAAAAACAGAAGAAAATTATAGATCAATTTCTCTAATGAATATTAATGGCAACATCGTAAAAAACAAAAAAACACTAGCAAGTAGGCTACAGCAAGATGTCACAATGCTATCTTCCAGTTCCTCCCTCCTCCTCACATACAGGTTTGACCATACTGATGGATGTGCCCTCCAATCAATCGATATTTATGAAGCACCTACTAGGTATCAGACTAAGTGCTAGGGATACAAAAAGAGGCAAAAGACAGCTCCTGCCCTCAAGGAGCTTGCAATCCCTACAAGAATGTGGAAGTCTAGGCACTTTCCCCACCTCTCCAGGCAAGAGAGGAATGGATCTTTGCTGACAGCCCCTTTTTGGGGAGGAGAGTGTTTTTCTTAATTTGTCACCGTGAGACCCCTAGGGAATGAAGCACGGGGGGGGGGGATTTTTTCGGTGATGAAGGGAAAGCCCCAAGTTCCCCTCAAGGTGATTCCCCGTCCCCCCGCCCCCCGACTCACCCTCACCTCCTCCAGCACCGACATCCCACAGGCAGTTCCACCGAAGTAGGTAAAAGCCCCCCGACCCTCCAGGCCCCCGAGGAATAGTTCCGCCCCGAAGCCGCGGCGGGTCTCCACCAAGTTTGGGAAAGAGGGGCGTTAACGGGATACCCCGAGTGCTTTTCCGGTGCATTCTGGGAATTGTAGTTGTGGCTCAGGCGGACACGCTCTTTCATAAGGGTCTCCTTTCCTATCCCAAACTGCTACGCCGGAAAGTGGAGATAGGGAGTGGGGACCGAGGAGGGCCCGCAGAGAGTGGAATCAGGCGGGCGCCTTCAAGTGCCACGGTGCCTGTCGGGAAAGCGAGTTCTCGGCTCCCTTACCGACCCGTAAGGGCTTCGGGACTACAGTTCCCGGCGTGCTCCGGCGTGGTCAGGACCTGGAAGTGAGGGCGTGCGGGCCCTCTTTGGAAGTTGTCCCGGGTGTTAGTTGCTGGAGCCCCGGGTCGAGAGGACGAGGCGCTGCAGTCGCCTGAGGAGCAGCCGCCGCCGCCCCGCCACCTCCTCCTTCTCCTCTTCCTCCCCCCGGAGCTTGGCCACCGCCTCCGCCTCTCCCTGCCCGAGACCCCTTCGCTACAATGAAAGCTGCCATCTTCTTGCCCTCCCCCGACCTCCGATGCTCTCTGCTGCTTTTGGTGAGTGGCTGACACCTCACTCCTCCTCCCGCCGCTGACCGGGCCAGGGGCTGCTAGGAGCCGCGACTCCGCCGGAGGCGCAGCTGCCTGAGCCTCCTGAGAGGAGCCGGCCTGGACCCACCCCCGTCGGCTCTCCGCGTTGCTCCCCTCCCCTGGCCAGGGTCTCGCTCCCCCCGCGGCCTGCTCCCGCCTGCCGGGCCGGGACGGGCCAGGAAGGGTGGGGTGGGTCGGGGCCGGGGGCCGGCGGGGGTTTGGGGGCAGGGGCCGAGCCCTCTGTGGCGTGGTGGTGGGGGGAGGCCTGACCACTGGACCCTGGGATGGGAGGGAATCGCCGGGGTCTAAGGGCTGTGGGCTTGAGACATTTGCGGAGGACAGGGTGAGGGTCTAGAGCCTGAGTGAAGGGCTGCAGGCCGCCCCTTCCCCCTTCCCAGGACTGAGGGGTGGGGTGGGCAGAGACGGAGGCCCCCTCGGGGCAGCCGTGGAGGAGGGGGAGCCGGGCTCGGGGGGCGTGGCCTTGCTCCCTGCAGGGTAGGGGTGGGGGTGGGGGTGCTTGGGGAAGGTCTGTCCGGAAGGACCGTGGTGGGGGGTGAAGCTGACAGGTGCGGCGGCTGGTTCCTCTCCCTCTCTACCCCTTAAACCATGCCCCTTTGGTGGATCCCTCTGTTGTGGCTACATGTGATTGGTTGGAAACACGGAACTTGTCTGGCTGACACTCTCCCCAGGGGGTGGGGGGACGCGGTGGCGGTGCTATTCCTAGACAACTTGCACCTCCAAACCCACCTAAACCTTTTCTTTCTTCGCTGGGCACTGCGCGCTGGGTCGGGAGAATGTACCAGGTCTTCATGTACCCACCCACCCTGCCTTTAGATCTGCTGGGACACCCAGAGTTTTTTAGCTCTTTTCATCTCATTGTATTGAGGACCTTCCCCCATTAATCCATGTCTCCCAAACACACCTTGAGTATGGTGACACCCTAGATGACCCCTCCTAGACAGGTTTAACTTTGGAAAAGGGCCAAGGCTTGCCTGGCCTTTTGTGACACTGAACAGGTACACTTTGAATACTTACCAGAATACTGGGTTAGAAAGTATTCTAACCTCAATGGAATTGTAGAATGTTAGAGCTGGAAGGGACCCTTACCTGTCCAGGCATGGAGGACAGCGAGAAAAAATCATCTTACCTGTCTTTCTCATTTTTGCCGATGAACAAATGGGGCTGAGGTTAAAGAATTTACTCCGCCTTACAGTGAGTATCACTGCTAAGACTGAAATACCATTTCAGTACAACAGGATGAGACCAGGTCATCCATCTCTCTCTTTTTGCAGATGAGGAATTGATTGGGTCTGAGTGAGAAGTTAAAGGATCTGCCCAGGGTTTCATAGTGAGTGCCACTTCTGAGACTAGAATACTAATTCAGTTCAGCTAACATTAAGTACCCACCGAGTGCGAGCAATTGATGTTTCTGAGATATAAGAACTGGTGAGTCCCTGTGGAAGAAAATAATTTTAATATTGAAAACTTCTTAAAAGACCTCTATCTGTTGTATTAGCGATAATTTTGGAAGAGAAAATTTCGCTATCAGGAGTTACCAACAACAGTGAAATTACAAGTTTCCTGTCTGAAGACATGAGGGGCCAGTCCCCTCATTTTACAGGTTAGGAAACTGATGACTCAGGAGATTGAGTTACTTGCTCAAGGTCACAGATGTTAAAGGTCTGATGCAGAATTTGAACCCAGGTTTCCTGACTCCAAAGCCAGTGCTTTTTTCCACTGTTATCAAGCTGCTTGATACAAACTGAAATGTAGTTTGTATAGACTCTCATTCTAAATTGATATTATTACTTGGTGACATGCTAATTTTAGCCACTATTTATTCTAAATTTATTTTTGAGAAGCCGCAATAGATCCATAGTGAGATGTGATAGGTGAGAAGTAGAAGACAAGTTCTTTAACTTCATGAGGCTGTGAGAGGCTGCTTCTTTCCAAGGTATTCTGGTCTAGAGGTGATCTGACAACAACCCTTTTTATGTAAAAAAGATACTTCTGTATCCTTTTACAGGACCTGGGGTCCTGTCTTTACAAGTATTCTTTCCACTGGTACAGATCACAACTCATCTATTTGTGGCTTTGTGTATAAAAAGTATGAAGGGGAAAACATAAAAAAAATTAGAAAACATGAAAAATGTTGAACAGGAAAACTACTATACAACAGATAGAGTTTCTTAGAAGGTTTTGTCTGGTTCAGACCATGGCAACTTGACAGACCTCTTAAAGAGGACTGAGAAAAGATTAATAAGTCACAGCATTTCAGAAAAGGAACCTTGGATCCCCTACTTCAAATCATAAGTGAGCAGAAATGCCCTCTGAAACAACATTCCTTAAAAATGCTTTATGCAGCTTCTGCTGGAGGACCTCTGGAAAGGAGAATTCACTATTTCCTACATCCCTTTTCACTTTTAAGAACTCTACTTATGTAGTTTTCCCTTTATTTGTTAAGTTTTGGGAAGTTGAAGGCAAATGGAAATTTGTTTCTTTGCAACTATACATTGCTCCTGTTTCTGGGGTCTTGGACCAAGTAAAAGAATCTAATGCCTCCTCAGCCCATTAAGTACTTAATTAAAAGCTATAGTACGTCCATTTCTTTTCCCCTCTTCTCACCTTCAAGTATTTTTCTCATCCAGGAAAAATATCTTCACTTTATTTGATATGGTTTCAGGTCTTCTTTCTGTCCTGATCATTCTTTTCTGGATATGTTCCAGCTTGTCAAGATTCTTCTTAAAATGTATTCCTAAGAACTGAGCTTAATGCTTTCTTCCATTGTGGTCTGACCAGAATAGAGAACCTGGGACTGTTACCTCCATTTTTCTGAACATTGTTCAATTCAGTTCTACAAACATTTCTTGGATTTCTGTTTTATTCAAGTTAATGGGCTTCATGCTAGAGAGACACAAGGAAAAAATGCCCTTGAAGGCAGGAATGCAGTGTATACACAGATAAGCAAATACAAGAGAATTGCAGAAAGGAGAGAGCATTAATAATTGGGTACATCAAAGGGTTTAGGACATAGGTTCTTAATCTTTTTTTGTGTCTTGGTCCCTGTTGACAGTTTAGTGAAGTCCATTGACCCTCTCTCCACCTCGTCAGAACAATATTTTTAAATGAATAAAATAAAATATTCAGGATTACAAAGGAAACCAATTATATGAAGTAGAGTTTTCCAAATATAAAAAAAAATTCATAGAGCCCAGGTTAAGAACCCCTGGTTTCAGAGAAGGTGAAACCTGAGCTGAGCCTTGAAGGAAGCTAAGGATTCTGAGAAAGGGAGCATTTCAGGCGTGGAGGACTGCTTGTGGAAATGCACAATGCATGGAGGAGGGCGAACCCTGAAAAACACAAATGCATGAGGGTAGGAAAAAGTATATTGCTATCAGGGGACAGTTAATACTCCAATATTCCTTTGTGTGGGGTTGGAGCTAGAAGGAAGTAGAGATGAATGATAAAAGTAGGAGAAACTCAAGGAAGGCTTGGAGAAACAGGAAGAGGAGTGGTTATCACTGTCAAAAGTTAAATGTAGGTAGTGGGAATAGACCATCCTTTCTAGGAACTTCCAGCTATCCTACCCTAAATTCTCTGTTGACCTCCAGTCTCACATTTCCATCTGCCTTACAGACATCTTGAATTGGATGTCCAGTAGACATCTTGATATGCCAAAATAGAATTCATTATCTTTTCCCCTTAAACCCTGTTCTCCACCTCCCACCTTATCTGTTACTGTAGAGGACAAGACATCTTCACAGTCCCTCAGGCTTGAAATTGAGGAGTCATCCTGGATTTCTTACTATCTCTCACTCCACATATCCAAGCTGTTGCCAGAGCCTGTGGATTTCACCTTGGCAACATCTCTCCAACACTCCCCCTGCTCTTTTCTGACATAGTCACCACTCTAGTGCAGGCCGCCTCGTTATTGCAAGAACCTGCTGGTAGGTATGTCTGCTTCAAGTCTCTTCTCATTCCAATCTATCTCCTCTATTCAGTCACTAAAATGGTTTTCCTCAAGTGAAGGTCCAATCATGTCACCCATATACACACACCCTTACTCAGTAAACTCCAGTGACTCCCTATCACTTTTAGAATTAAATACAAAATGCTCTGTTTGTCATTCAAAGCCCTTCATAACCTAGCTCACTCCTACCTTTCAAGTCTTCTTATGCCTTAATCCCCATCACGTATTCTTCAATTAGGTGACACTGGCTGTCTCATGAACAAGACATACCATCTCTTAGCTCTGATTTTTTTCTCACCATCCTCCATGCCTGGAATGCTCTCCCTCCTCCATTTTCATTACTGACCTCCCTGGCTTTCTTTAATTCCCAAGTAAAATCCCATGTTTTACAGGAAGCCTTCCCCAACTCCTCAATTTCAGTGATTTTCCTCTGTTAATTATTTCCTACTTATCCTGTGTATAGCTTGCTTTGTATACATTGATTTGGGTGCTATCTTCCTCCATTAGATTGTAAGCTTCTTGAGTCCAGGAACTGTCTTTTTCCAGAGAAAGGAAGTGATAGAGCAAGTTACTAGGGAAGAATGGAAGGGAATGGGATCTAGGGCACAAGTGAAATTTCTGACCTTCACCAAAAAGGACCCCCTTTTTCCCTGAGTTTGGAGCAAGGGATTATGAAAATGTATATGAAAGTGTTGAGAGAGAGTTCAAACTGGGCCTTTATTTTCTCTATGTAAAGTAAGAAGGCAAGATGTTTTCTTCTCCCTCCCCCCCCGCCCAAAGAGAAAGAGGAGTAGTTTTAGGGAATGGAATAAAGAAGTTTGGAATACTATGTATTAAGTTTTTTTTTTACGTAACGCATCCTACTCTTCACTCATTGAGCTTGCAGTCCATTACAGTGTGCCAATATTTTTTACATGAATTGTTGTCTAGCCATGTTTCTCCATCTTATGTTTCTATAGTTGAATTTCCAAATCTAAGAGTAAGGCTTTATATTTAT